TCACAGCACTGCTGGGGAGGAATTTTGGTATTAGATTTTTCAATTCACAGACACACTATAGAATATACAGTCTAGACTCTATTAAGAGCATCAAATGAAATTTCAATTTTATTGTCAGTTAAGTTTCATGTGCTATAGGTCATGTTCCAAAAAGCACTCTCCCAAAATTGACTAGGGCTTTCATTGGTTGAGTAAACTTAATTATCAGGTTAAATTGAAAACATGCTTATACTTTTGATAATTGAGTTAGCTTCATATTTATAAAACTTCTTTGTAGTCATTAAAATATAAAGTATCATATGGTTTAATTGCCATGAAATTCACATTTGCTGACCTATGAGACATTGTGAACAGGTGTTGTAGAAGAGCACATTTCTCTTTACACAATTTCAGTATCAATTCCACATATCCTACTTACCAACTGATATTTTATTTTCTGTAACAGAGCCACTTAAAGCATATAATTTCTTAGAAATCACAATATGAAGATTTAACAGCATCAAGACTAGTTCTGATTTACTTTATTTGACTAATTTTTCAAATATTATCATTTTTTGGAGAAGTAAGACTACATAGTTTTGGTATGTGAAGTTACCCTGGTTAGGCTCTAAAGATGACTAACACTGACAACTTCTTCTCACTTAACCATTTTCTGAATGTCAATAAAATATCAAGAAATACATTGGTGAACATTTTTCATCTAGAGATGAAAAAGATAAGAGCTGCCATCTTTCACCATCTGGAAGGTGCATGGGTTTTGCTGCTGTGGCTAACTATCAGTCCTGTGCCCATTATAAACTCCTGGGTTCAGCTGAAAATGTGTTCTGCAAGAGAGACCTGCAGAAGTTCAAACAGAGAGAGAAGGGAAAGAAGGAGGCTCTACAGATGTGCAGAGAATTCCCCTTGCCCAGTGATTTCCAAACCCTGATGGGCAGAAGGATCCTGTGAACAGGTTCTCCTCCAATTCTGGATTTCCACTCCCTTCCCGCCCCCAACACAAGGATCTCCCCTTAATCTGACTGATAAAAGACTACTGTGGCTTTTAGTGAGAGATGCCCATTAGGAGGTATGTCATTACATTAAGAAATCATATTATATTAAATGCTATTACATAAAAACATATTATATCATACCCCATTATTAATTCATGCCAGGAACCAGTGTATAAAACTTATCATATTAAATGCATTAATTTTTAAAAAACTTCCAGACTACAACCAGGAACCTTGCCAAGCAAATCACGAGCATGTCTAGAACATCATGCAGCACCATTTATTTTGGAATTTTAAAACTTAAAGTTGGAAAGCACTGCAGTATATAGTAATACAGGAACAAAGATATTTTGCAGAAGCTTTTAGTTAGGCAAAAGAGATTTTTTACCAACTCTTGTTTAAATATTTGCTAACTTTAAAAATATCACTTGGGAGAGATGCATGACTCTAGTGCAGACCTTGTGACAGATCATATAAAAAGACAGATTTCTTAGTTCACCAATGAGGAATCACTGTAATAAAAATACTTTCCCTCCATTCCCCATCATTTTCTAAGCAGAAAGATAGACTTAATGAGTTTAATTGGTCAATACTACAAAATATTTCAGGGTACATAATACATTTGAGGAAGTGTATACATAAAACTCTTCAATTTCTAATACAAATTTAAAACAAATATTTAACTGGAAATATATATTACTCTTTAAAATGTAAAATTTTAATGTTAAGATCAACTACCTAAAGTATAAAGTCTACTGTAATTAAATCTGAATAATCTGAAGGAATGATTTTATTAATAAAAACAGTATTAATTGGAGATTCAGAGAAAAATTTCTTAGACAATTTATTGTAGATCTAGATGAAATTATACTCATCAAACACAAACCTTTTTTTAAGAATGCAAGGTTAGCCAAAATGTTCAATGTCCTGGTTTTTATTTATTGAATGGATGATTTGAATATTATCTAATTATTGGTTGGACTAATTACTGCATATGTTCTTTAAATGTCTAACTTTACGAAAAATTGAATTAGTTTCTATTTAATAGACATTTTCTAGAAATATAAAATGAAAAATAAATGCTACTGAAAAAAATCCATACCTGATTTTTAAGTAATCAACAATCGCATTAGCTTGTTTTACATCAAAGGTATTCCATTCCTCATATTTTTGTGAACGGGATGGCCCTATTTCAGCCATAACTTCTCCAAGCCATTTTATGCTGTCTTCTAATGACATATGCAGTGCTGAAATAAAATCCAGAAGAGTCTTAAGCATTATTTGGATAGAGGTTTTGGAAACAAAATAATCCAAGATGTCCTTAATGTGAAAAAATTTCCTTTTTCAGTATTTGTGAGGACAAAGGGTGAAACTATTGTTGTCTGTTTATGCTAATTAATAATTACATTTAATGTAAAATAGCAGCTGACACCCTCAGCAGTTATAAATTACCATAATGCTATACAATTGTCTGAAGAGTTTATGTTTTCATTTTAAGATGTCAAAAAAATTTAATCTACCTAAAGATTACTTTAGAATGGAAAAGAAAGAAATATTTTATAATCTTAGATTAGAAATATAGATGGAAATGACACAAAGTTTGGTTGGATTAGCTGGTAAGGAAGTCCTACACAGTAGATTCAGCCACTGTAGACAGCAGAATTGAACTTCAGGCTGAAAATGTAAATGAACAAAGTCGACCAACACTTGGCTTCAGCTGATTGTTACCATGTGGGAATTTGGGCCTGAAGATTTTCAATAGATGCCAGAAATATGGATTTTTATGTAAAGCATCAAGACTTTTTTTTTTCTTTTCCAAGCTACAGACATAACTTATGTAAGCTGTTTCTCAAATGTATGCCTGATGGTGGTGGCGAGAGCCAGATGACAGTGCAAAAAGAGTGACACTGGCACCACTTTGCCACCATTATCAAAAATAAACAAGTCAATAATTGTGGTCTATTCTCTTGCAATTAAAAGCAAACAAACAACAAAGCAAAACTATCTTCTATGGCATTTGTCTAGATGAAAAAGAAGTAGATGAACGTCAAAAGCCTTAGACTTAACTTTTATACCATGTATAATACAAATATTAACTTTCATCTTCTTTTCCTGTTTCATTATGCTCATTTTTACTTGCGGCAGGCAAATATTATTTACAACACACACACACACACACACACACACACACACACAAACACACACACACTGCTTGTTGTGTCCTGAGGATGAATCCAGGTAACTGGATTGTCCAGACTGTCCTTTTTTGCTGACAAGTGAGGGGTGTATGGACAGAAGATCGAAGAGCATAGAGGAGAGTCGAAAGGCTCTAGCAAAAAGGAGGTTGGACTGGTTGCTTGGGGGAGACAACCATCAGCTGGGGGCCTAGACGAGGGCTTGGGAGAGAATTGTGCTGATTAATTTGAACCCCAACTTCCAATCTGAACCAAACTTGTCTCTCTTAGGAAACCATTAGTAAACTTTCCTTGCCTTGTTAATGGGGTGGATTTTTCAGGGAGGCAGAAGAAGAGAGTGCAGAGTAGCTATGAGAATATCAGCTGATTTATGGACTCAGCTACTACTGGGTTACACAGCTACTCTTTTGGGGATATATATGCTAGGTCCCTAAATTACTAATAAATTGACAATATAGTAATTTAAACTTTTAGGAAGACATTATAAACATTAACTTGTAACTTGTTTAGTCTAAATTTCTTTTCTATGTGTAGGAATTAGAAAATAAGCATAAAACTATATAACAATTAAAATCTGGTTTAATGAATGACAATTAGTCCAATTCTCATAGCCTCCTTCCAGATCCTGTTGAATGAATGTCAGATACACAACTTACTGCTGGATAACTAGGCTTTCCTATAATATTCAAAGTGGAGCTCAATTATTATTGAATATTTCTTTTTCCAAGATAAACTTCTTTTGAAAATAGTGACAGTAATTTCAGAAATGAAAAATCTGTTGGATAAAAGCAATTCAGAAATGAATGGATTAAAATCTGAATCATTTTATTAATAAAATGATATTAACTAGAGATGCAGAGAAAAATTTAGATGATTATAATTCTAGATGTAATTATACTAATCAAGCACAGAAACACATTTATATGACTATTTCCTTACGTTAAAATATAACTGACTCTTTAAAACTGTTTTTCTATGTCTAATGTCTTTCTATAGATAATGGATTTAAAAATTAGGGAAGTTATCATTTCACTTATCTAACTGAAATGTTTGCTCTTTCAAAAATCACATTTAGTGATGTGATTAAAATATGAAAGATTAAGCCAATTAAATAGTAAAGGCTGTTAGAAGTAAAATTTATCCTTGAAAATTCAGGATAATGAAAGAATACACCAGACTTACAATTAATAGGAAGACTTAGATTGGTAACTCATAACCGCCATTTACTAGCTAGGTGACCTGAGTTCCATTTTCTTTATCTATAAAGGAAAATACCAACTTTCAAAACAATAGTGCTGCTGTTAAGATCAAATAAGAAATGCATGGGAAGTTTACTCTTGGTAAACTGAAAAGATACATAAACATTACATGTGTATAGTGCTTTCCAGAATTCAGCCCAAAGCCAGGCACATTGGATGCAGGAGTCAGGAGGATGGGCTCTCCCTCACTGGGGTTCAGATTTAACTGCTCTAAATCTCATTTATTTTTCTCATTTTTAAAATGAGGAGAATAATAGAACTACCTCATAAGGTTGTGCAGGAATAAACTGACACAGTGTTTGGAAAGCAAATGGCACTGTGAGTGATACAAGTTAATTCTATATAAATATTACTTATTGTTATTATTATCATTCCTAATTGCAGGAAACAATTCAGCTTCACAGAAATAAAAAGTACTCTACGGTTATTTACAAACATTCATGTTATATAGAGGAGAACTGACCTAGGCTCATCGACCCAGGAGGTCAAGTATCCAGTCTATCTAATGCTCTACACCTTGTCCTTGGTCAGGACCTGGAAAAACTAGACCTAAAAATGTACAGTTAAGATAACTGTACAAATCCTATGATCCATAATTGTTTAGTTTGAGCTATTTTGATCTTAGGTGGGTTGGTTGCAGAATATCTTGTAGATAATGCAGCACAATCTGAGACAAGGAACAGATCAGACACTGAATCAGTATAAAATGCAGTTCCCACACTCGAATTTTATTAGTAATGGTTGACCACACTACAGCTCACAGCACACACTAAGCTCTTCAATGCTTTTTCTATGAAGATGTGGCCCAGTGGCGTGCTCATGCATGCTCAGGACTCCATCACCTCTCAGTTTAAGTCTAAACATACTTTACCTCCTTCCCTGGCACACTTGGCTAAAATTACATTCTTTCCTGATGATAACTATAACCTTGTTAGGTTGAAAGGTTTGAGGGGATTTTTTTTTCTTTCTGCCAGAAGGAAAAACTAGATCCCTTGCTTTTTTCCAGTTAGGTTTTCCATATGTACTTCTACTTTCTTACAGTTTATGAGTATTTGGATAGATCCTGCTCAAGTTTTAAAAATTCATTTTTGAACTGCTATCAGCAATATAAAGTTTCATGTATGAAATATTTTTCAGTCAGTTATAAGTTACTGAAAAAGTTTTAAATGAAAATCTCTTGTCAAATTTGGAATGTGAGATTCATGAATTTTTTTTTTTTACTTTCCTTTATTCTGTTTCTAGTTTGTGAATACTCAGCTTAGAGGTTGTAAAGCTTAAGACTGTTCATGTCATATATTTCTTTTTACAATTTAATTCTTGCACAGGTGATATGTGCCCATTTGCTACACCCTTCACATGGAAAATTCTGATTATTAGTTTTTTCTGTATTCTTCCAGCATTTCTTTGTATACATTAACAAATATATATATATATATATATAAATTTTCATTTTTGTGCCTTTTATAAACAAAAGCATATAATTCTGCACCTTGCTTTACTCAGTAATAATATACAGTTTCCCATATGATACCTAGAAAGCATCCTCATTCTCTTCTTTTTTTACAGCTGCATAATATTCCACTTTAGGGAAAGGCAAATCCCTACTGATCAACTTTACATTTCAGAGTAGTTTTAAATGTACAGAAAAGTAGCAAGAATGTCACAGAGAGTTCCCATATACCTCATGCAGAGTTTCCCCACTGTTAACATTGCTGTGGTGCATGTGGCACAACTAATGAGCAAATATTGATATATTACTATTATTTAAGTCCACACTTTGGATTTCTTTAGTTTTTATTCAAGTCTTTTTTCTGTCCCAGGATTCTCTCCAGGACACATTACATTTAGTTGTCCTGCCTCCTCAGACTGCACAGTTTCTCAGACTTTCCTTGTTTTTGATGACTTTGAAAGTTTTGAGAAGCACTAATCAGATATTTTGCAGTATACCCTTCAGTTTGGGTTTATCTGATATTTTTGTCATGATTAGACAGGGGTTAAGGGTTTTGGAGAGGAAGACTATGGTGCCATTCTTATCACATTATAAAAAGGGTATTGCTATTTAATGTGGCTCAGCACTCACCTGGCTGAGGTTGTATCTGTCAGGTTTCTCTATGATAAAGTTACTGTTTTCCCCTTTGGAAGGAGTCATTGTATTGCTCACACTTAGCAGTGGGGAATGGTGTTCAACATCATGAGGGTGAAGTAGCTATATAAATTATTGGAAACACTACATGGAAGATTTGTTTATCTTAATCCAGTTAATTAGATATTCAATCATTAATTTTTATCAGTATGGACTAAAAGGA